AAAAAAAAAAAAAAAAAAAAAAAAAAAGAAAAAGAAAAAAGAACAAAATAAAATAGCCGTAAGAATGGTTTAAAATTATCTTGCCAAATATCTCGAAAGATTATTTTTTCTAAAGAAAAGGATCAAGGATAATTTTGACAATTTGTTTCGGAGCAGCCCGACATGGGCGTAGAGATACGATGTCGCCTAGTTTTTCAATCACGATGACGAAAACAAGTACATGGAAACGAATTGATTTACTCTTGGGGAAATCGAATTTAATTGTCACACGATTAGAACATTGCTCAAACGTACGAATGATTTTCCGAAACGTTGCGTATCGATGCCATGTAAATGATTACTTTTTATATGTGACGAAATAAATTTTTAGTAAATTAGAAGTGCTTGCTCCTTTAATTGTCCCTCGAAATCAGATCTTCCCGCGGCGAAGAATAATTCTTTAGCCTAGACCAAGAAGATCAGGTTAAACTTACAACCATTTTGGGAACGTTTCTTTGCACGCCTCCTCTCTGCGTTTTTACTTCAAATTCTCACTTTCTTTGGTCTTCCGCCTCCCCTCTCGCCCTTTTCATCCTTCGCGATCTGTTCATGTCTCGCTATCCTTTACACTCCATGTTTGTCCCTTGTCTTGTTAATCCCTCGGTTTCTCTCTCTCTCTCTCTCTCTCTCTCTCTTCTTGCCTAACGAGAGTTTGGGAAGAACTTTGACCTGACTGTTGTACGTCATGGATGCTTTAGCAACAATCGCACATGTGTGTGCAACCGCATGATGCACGCGTGTACAAAATGTAATTCGCAACACGATCGACCGGGCACGACCAAACAATCGCAAATTACCGGCGTCCTTTACTTAAGTAATGACCAAAACTTCGACTTTGCTGACCAGTATGTATCTATCTCCTTTGAGCTCGCGAGTTAAATTGCGGAGACAATTTAGACGTAGTAAATGCATGTTCCCACGGAGAAGCGAAATCAGGGAGAATACAGCGCATAGGAATTATGGGGAGGAACGTTTAAGAGAAATTTTGAAACATTTAACCTCTTAGATTTTCATTCGGAAGTTTCAGTTTAACACGACCAGAAATATTTATATGTGTGTGTGTATATATATTTCAAAAACACGCCACCAATTCACAGACAGACGTGAATTGACAAAATCGCAAATAGCTACCGCGACGCGGAAATATACGAAAAAAATTCCCTTTCAAACGCGCCAACAATGTTTGTGTCGTTCGCTTTGCTTTTCATTAACAATTGTAATTAATTAATTAAATTATTTGCATCACGTTCTTCTACGAAATTTTAACGATTCGCTGTTCCAATATAATAATGAATACATATTTATGAAACAAACGTCGAGGATGCTAATTGTATTTAATATATTTGCATTACACCTTTGTGCGATGCGATATTGAATTTCTGTATCGGTATAATAAAATGAAGCTGTTGAATAAAATTACAATTTTAATTGCACGCCTCTATCTTTGGCAAATCTACCGAGTCGCGTTACACATGCATATTCATTCGTGCTTGGTCGAAGTAATTTATCTATTCGATTTCATTGCAACTGTTGGTTCTATTTTTGCGCGATTTCAATGTCAAGACTTGTTAAACGTGAAATGGAATTTGAATTAATTCGC